TCTCCTCCCCTTTCCCTCTATTTTTCCCCCCTTTTCCCCTTCCTTTTTCCCCCTCCCACATTTTTCCTTCTTTTCCCCCTTTTCACATTTTCCCCTCCCATTTTTCCCCTTTGTCTGCCATTTCCCCCCCCCTTTTCTCCCCCATTTCCCCCCTCTTTTTCCCCTTCTTTTTTCCCCCTTTTTCTCATTTTTCCTCTTTTTCCCCCATTTCCCAGCGGGGTGAGGCTCTCGTGCTCCTCCTGCCTCTTTGTCACCTCTGAGGGCGACTCCATGGCCAAACATTTGGTGTTCAACCCCTCCCACGAGTCCAGCAACATCATTGTCCAAGGTAAAACCGGGGAAAAAAAAAGGGAAAATGGGGAAAACCCGGAACTCCCACCAAAATCCAAGAAATACTCATATTCTGGAGCTCGGGAATAAGCTGAATTAATTTTGCCTTTTTTTTAATGGGATGGAAGTTCAGAATTCATTCTTGAGGGAGCTTGGTTTGATTCCAGCTTTTCCAGGAATTCCCACAAATCCCAAATTCCTCTGAAATAAAATTAAATAGAAGTAAAAACATAAAACACCTCAAACGAATTAGAATAAAAACCTTAAATATTCTGTGTTATTCCAGGGCCTTCTTGGATATCACATTCCAGGTAAGCCAAAAATTCTTGTTTATCCTCATCCTTCCTAGTCCATGATTTTTTTCTCATTTTTCCCCCCTTTTCCCTCCTTTTTTTCTCGCCTTGTTTTCCTTTTTCCTTCCCTTTCCTTCCCTATTCTCCCCTTTTATTCCCTTTTTGTTCCCCATATTTTTTCCTTAACCCCTTTCCCCCCTCTATTTTCTCTCTTTTTCTCTCCCTTTTCCCCACCCTTTCCCTATTTTTTTCCTTTTTTCCCCTTGTCCCCCTTTTTCCTCCCCTTGTTTTCCCCTTCTTTCTCCTTTTTTCTCAGTTTCTCCCTTTTTTTTCCCTCCCAATTTCCAAACACCCCAAAAATTTCACTTTTCCCAATTCCCCCTTTTTTCCAGGCACACCCAGGACACGCCACAACCCCCCTGCCAAACTCCCTCCCCACCTCCCCCTCCAAAACCCCAAACCCCACCTCAAAACCCCCAAAAAACCCCGATCCCCCAACCCCCCGACGCAACCCCCGCCCCAGTCCCGGCGGAACCTCCGCAGAAAGACCCCGAACCCACCAAAAAAGAGCAGCTTTCTGTCAAGAAGCTGCGTGTGGTTCTGTTCGCCCTGTGCTCCAGCACGGAGCAGGCGGCCCAGCATTTCCGGAACCCTCCGCGCCGCATCCGCCGCTGGCTCCGGCGCTTCCAGGCCTTCCACGACGACCGCCCCGAGCTGCCCGAGGGCAAATACCTCAGTCTGGAGGCCGAGGAGAAACTGGCCGAGTGGGTCCTGACCCAGCGCGAGCAGCAGCTGCCGGTCAACGAGGAGACGCTTTTCCAGAAGGCCACGAAGATCGGGAGGTCTCTGGAAGGAGGCTTCCAGATCTCCTACGAGTGGGCCGTGCGGTTCATGCTGCGGCACCACCTCAGCACCCACACGCGCCGCGGCGTCGCCCACCCCCTGCCCAAGGAGATCCAGGGGAATGCCGGAGCCTTCATCGAGTTTGTGCAGCGCCAGATCCACACGCAGGAGCTGCCCCCGGCCATGATCGCCGCCGTGGATGAAATCTCCCTTTTCCTGGACGTGGAAGTGCTGGGCAGCGATGAGCGGAAGGAGAGCGCGCTGCAGACGGTGGGCAACGGAGAGCCCTGGTGCGAGCTGGTGCTGACCGTGCTGGCCGACGGCAGCGTCCTCCCCGCTCTGCTCATCTCCAGAGGCCGCCTCCCCTGCCCGGCTGCCATTCCCAAATCCATCCTGCTGGAATCCAAGGAGAGCGGCTGCGGCGACGACGAGATCATGGAGTTGTGGGCGGCCCGAGTGTGGAGGAAACATACGGAGTGCCAGGGCGGCGCTTCCAAAGGCATGTTGGTCCTGGATTGCCACCGGACGCACCTCTCCGAGGAGGTGCTGGCCGTGCTCAGCACGGCCGGGGCGCTGCCGGCCGTCATCCCGGCCGGATGCAGCTCCCGGATCCAACCCCTGGACATGTGCGTCAAGAGGTCCCTGAAAAATTTCCTCCATAAAAAATGGAAAGAACAGGCGAGAGATCTGGTGGATTCCGACTCCTCCATGCTGCTCCAACTGCTGCTGGGGTGGCTGGGAGAAGCTTTGGAAATCCTCGGGAATTGCCCGGAATTGATCCGGAAATCTTTCCTGGTGGCCAGCGTTCTGCCGGGGCCGGCCGGAGACTCGGGATCACCGCGGCGCAACGGCGACGAGCAGGAGGAGCTGATCGCCGCCATGGAGGAGAGGCTGAAAATCGCCAAAACTAGGGAATCATCCCCAGAATTCCTGGAAAACGACGACCCTGAGGCCGATCCTGAAATCCTGCACCGGCTCTTCGAGGGGGAGAGCGAGGCCGAGTCCTTCTACGGCTTTGAGGAGGCAGATTTGGAGCTGATGGAAATTTGAGAATTCCCAGAAAAAAAAAAAAAAAGTTGGACGGATTCATCCCGGAAATTCCTGGGGTTGGAGAGGCCAAGGAGTGTGGGGAATGGAAGGGGTGTTCCCTGGTTTTGGGCCTGAAAATTGACCGAGATTCCGAGTTTTTGGCCACAAAAATGGAAGACTATTCCCAGTTTCTGGCCCCCAAAATGTAAAGGATATTCCCTGTTTTTCGGAGATCCAAACACATCCCAGAAATAGAAGGCTATTCCCAATTTTCTGCCCCAAAGATTGAAGGATATCCCCTATTTTTGGCTGACAAAAATTAAAAGAAATTCCCTGGTTATGGCCCCAAAAATTAAAAGATGCTCCCTGTTTTTGGAGAGCCAATTATTAAAAATAATAGCAATTATGCCAGAAATTAAAGTATATTCCCATTTTTTAGCCCCAAAAACCCAAGGATATTCCCAATTTTTGGCCCCAAAACCAAAGAATGTTCCCAAATGTTTTGCCCCAAAACAAAGGACATTCCCAGTTTTTGGAACAAACAGATGAGATCCCAGTTCCCAGCGGATTTCTGGGATTTTTCCGGATTTGCCGTTTCCGCTGATTTTTTGGGAGGATTTTCGTGGCTTTTTTTTCTGTTTTTTTAAATCTAAAAAAAAAAAAACTGAAAAAAAAAAAACAACTTGGATTCACTGTGTTGGTATTTCCTTGGAATTCTCTCTCGTGGGTGGATATTTTTTGGGAATTTTCTTTACCTCACTTGTACCATAATTCCTGGTTTTTAGCAGTGGGAATTTGACGTCGTTTGTGCCCAGTTTTTTTTCTAAGAAGACAAAAAAATCCTCAGATTTAACTCGCAAAATAATTTGGGGAATTTTTCTTTCTTTTTTCCTTGATGTTTTTATTTTTGGAATTTAACTCAGAAAATCCCCGTTTTTACGGAAAATTCCTTCAGATTGGCTGTGAGGATTCAGTTATTTTGGGGTTTTTTAAATGGAAATCAGGAATTTTGATGGAATTTTGGTGGAATTTTAAGGAGTTTTGAGGAATTTGGCTTGGGAATTGTGAAGCTACCATTCCATGCCAGCAATTTTTGGGATTGGCGCTGCTTTTCCTGCCCCCGACCTCGATTTTCCCAATTTCTCCCCCAAAAAATTCCCATTGGAGGGGCAGAAAACCCCAACTTTTCCTTGGATTTCCCCCTTTTGGATCATTAATGATCAACTTTATTTTTAAAAGAGCCATCCTGGAAAACCCTGCCTTCCTTAGGATTGGAAAATCCGTGATTTGGGACTAAGACTGTGATGAAAATCCCAAAAAAACCCATATAAAAAAAAAAAAGAATTTGGGTTGATTTTTCACTGCCAGCTCCAATTTTTTACTGGAATTTGCATGTTTTTTGGGAAAATGTTTTTTTTTTTTAATGTTAAAAATTCTTGGAATTCCCAAATTCCAGAGGCACCTGGCACCTGTTTTTCCATAAGATTTGTGGAGTTTTCTTTTTTTTTTTTTTTTTTGGGTTTTTTCCCGAAGGAAAACAGGAAAAAAATTTAAAATTCAAAATAAATAAAATTAAAAAAAAAATATTGATCAGCCTGGAATTGTACAGGAGTGGAAAATGTGGAATAAAAGCAGGGAAATGGATTTATAAACAAATGGTGTTTTTATTGTGGAAAAAATCCTTCATTCCCATGGGATTTGGGTGGAAAAATCCTGGATTTAATTAATTCTTCAGGGTCAGAATTGTTTTTTTCCACAGAAAATTCCTGGGTTTTTTTAAGTAGAAGTTGGGAAAATGCTGCTGGAGGAATTTTGGGAATGGGCAGGGGGAAAATTCCATTTTAATTGGATTTTTGTGGCCTTGGTTACTGAAATATTCCAAGGTTTTAGTGAACTATTCCAACATTTTATTGAATTCCCTTATTTTTATTGAAATATTCCAATATTTTATGGACATCATCAAAACTTTATGGAAAGATTCCAATATTTTATTGAGATTTTATTTAACTTTATGGAAATAATCCAGGGTTTCACAGAAACATCCCAGTATTTTATTGAAATGTCCTTCATTTACTGAACTATTCCATAACCCCAGAATTCCCATAAAAACCAGTGTGGGTCCATTTGAAGCAGCAAAAATTCCCCAAAATTTGGGATTTTAACCCAAAGGGGGTTTGGGACCATCTCAGAATTCCCCGGAAAAGCATTTGGGGCAAATTTGAACCATTTTGGGTTCAACCAACAGATCCTGACCCATCCTAGAATTCCCAGGCTTGGGAATGACCTTGAAATCCCCCTGGATTTGGGATTCTGGGGAAAAATCCCATGGAGTGTCTCAAAATCGTGGACAGGGTTTAGATCCCACCTCAGAAATTCCACAATTTCTGTAAGAATTGGGATTTGGAGCCACAGCATCCATCCAGAATTCCGGAACTCCCTGAGATCTTCGTTTTTCAGGAGAATTCCTGTGTTTTTTGAGTATTCCCAAAGAACAAACACACGGACTGGTCTTAAACAATGGATTTTATTCCCAAAAAACACCAGATTTGCCATTCCAGAGGGGAAGAAGGGATGGGAATAAAAATGGGCTGAGGCCAAAGCAGCTCCTGGAGATCACTCAAAACCTCTGAAAAAATGGGAAAAAAGGGAAAAATGGGGGTTAGAGGGGCAGGAAAAACAGCTGGATGTCCCCAGGAACACCTGGATCTCACAACACCTGGATGTCCTGCTGGAATTACCAATCCCGCTGTATCCAGGTGGGAATTACCTGGATGTCCCCAGAACCCCCAAAATTCCCAGATCCCGATATTCTAGGTGGGAATTACCTGACCGCGTGGGCGATGTCCCAGTTGGCCTCCAGGGTCAGGGGTCCCTCCAGCTCCACACCCTTCTCCGTCACCGTGGCGACCTCATACTGCGGGAAAACCCTGGGATTCCTCAATCCCCACACAGAATTCCACAAGAAAAACCCCAGAATTCCACAGGGAAAATCCTGGAATTCCTCAAATCCCCACCCGGAATTCCACGGGGAAAACCCTAGAATTCCTCAAATCCCCACCTTGAATTCCATGGGAAAAACCCTGGAATGCCTCAATCCCAGCCCTGGAATTCCATGGGAAAAACCCTGCTATTGGGATGGGTATGGGCTGGCTCCCATCTGGGGATGGATTTTGGGACAAATTCCCGGGATTTTGGATACAAACCCTATTAAATGACTGAGCATCCCTGTAGTAGAGCACCCTCAGGCAGCGCTCCAGCAGCTCCCAGGACTGGGATGGGTTTGGAGCGGATCCCATGGATTTGGGATGGATTTTGGATACAAACCCTATTAAATGACCGAGCATCCCTGTAGTAGAGCACCCTCAGGCAGCGCTCCAGCAGTTCCCGCGCCTCCTCCCGCGTTGGGAGCCGATCCTGATCCCGCTCCAGCTCCGCCCGCAGCAGTGGCTGCACACAGATTGGGAATAAAGGGACAAATTAATTAAAATCAGATCGAAAATCAAAATACCGATTAAAAAGTGACAAGCTAGAAAATAACGAGCCAAAAGAGCTTGTAATCCATTTAAAAAATTATGAACTGAAAAAAGAAAAGGAAAAATGAATAATTTAATGAGGAGTTAAAAGACCCGAGCCTGGGCTCACCTGGGCCAGGTAAGCCCCGAATCCTGTGGCCAGCGACGGCGCCTCGTAGGCCACGCCCAGCATGTCCACATAACCCAGGAAACTGCAGGAACAGAGAGCGGGAATCACCTGGGGAACCGGGAATTCCCTGGGAAGGAGGCGGGAATTCCCCTGGAAAAGAACAGGAACCACCCCAGGAAAAGCAGGAATTCCCTGGGAAGGAGGAGAAACCAGCCCAGGGAAAAGGGCACAGGAATTTCCCTGGGAAGGAGGAGCAATCCCTGGAAGTCCCAGCCCCTGGATCTCTCACCTCTCCCCGCCGTAGACACCGGCGATGAGCACGGTATTCCAGAGGGGATTGATCTTGGAGCGCCGGTTGTACAGGACCCGCGTCAGCCACGAGTGCAGCGCCCGCGGGCTGTAGCTGTGCCCGTCCCCCAGCAGCTCCTCGTCGATCCTGAAATTCCATGGAATTCTGGCCTTGGACACCAGGGATTCAGGGGCTGGAGATCGGGGATTCGGGGCTTGGAGCGGAGCAAGAAATGCCGCGGAATTCGGGGATGGAATGCCAGGGAATTCAGGGATTTGTGCTCAAGGAATTCTGGGATCGGAGCAGAGAAATTCTGGGGACCGGCGCACGAAAAACACTGGGGATGAGAAATTCCCAAATCCCCAGGAATCAATCCAGAATTTTGGAGTGGGGACTTCGCAGGAATCAATTGGGGATTGTGGGATGGGGAATCTCGGAATTCCTGAGGGAATTTGGGCTGGGAATTCCTGGGAATCTTACACCATCTGCTCCAGGAGCTGCCGCAGGTGCTGGAAATCCGCCAGGTCGCCGGAGGCTCCGAGCACGGTGGAGTCGTTGACCTTGAGGAGCCGGGAGATTCCCCGGAATCGCGCCAGGGATCCGTAGGATCCCACCGTGTCTGCGGCCAGCATCACCCCCCCGGAGAACTTCAGCCCCAGCACCGACGTGCCGGTCACCATCGGGCTCCTGGCACACCGAGATCCCAGTCACACCAGTATGGATCCCCATCACAGCAGTAAGGATCCCAATCACACCAGTTCGCATCCCAGTCACACCAGTATGGATCCCAGTGTGTCCATTCTGTGCCCCTGGAGTCTCCCCGGCATTCCCGGATTTTCTGTTCCTTCCCTTTCCCCCTTTCCCCCTCCCCAGTTCCCCCCAGTTCTGCTCCCAGTTTGCCCCCTCAGCCCTCAAAGACCCTCTCCAAATCCCCCCATTTCCCCTCCCCCAAACCCCCCAGTCTCCCCAGTTCTCTCCCAGTTTCCCTCAGGGACCCCTCCACCCTCCCCAGTTCCCCCCCAGTTCTCCCCATTTCCCCCCCACTCTCCCCAGTCCCCCCCATCCCGCGCTCCCGCTGCCCTCACAGGGTGCGGCCGGCGGGCAGCGCGGCGGGCGCGATGCCGATGCCCCAGGAGCCCCGGGGGGCGGTGCCGGTGTGTCCCAGGGCCCGGGGGATGTACGTTTGCCCCGGGGCCGGGCCCCCGGCCCAGAACGGCGGCAGCGCTGCCCCGGCCTCCATCTTAGTCACGCCGCGGTTGCGCCTGCGCCGAGGAAGTGCGGCCGCGCCCCGCCGCCGTAGGGGGTGGGCGTGGTTTCGCCGCCATCTTGAGCGTGGCGAAAATACCGCCAAGAGCGCGGGTCCCTCCTCAAGATGGCGCCGCCCCCACGTGACGCAGCACCGGTGCGGCGGTGGGCGGGGTTTGCCGCGCGGAGCCGCGCCCAATGGGCGGGGTTTGCGGTGGCGCTGGCCAATCAGTGGCGAGGGGCGGGGCCCGGGCGAAGGTAACAGGTTGCGGTGGCTGCGGCGGGAGCGGGCGGTGAGTGGGGGGGGGGGCACCGGGAAACGGGGCTGGGGACACGGGACAGGGCTTGGGGACACCGGACAGGGCTGTGGGGACATCGCACAGGGCCTGGGGACACCGGGAAGGGGCTGGGGACAGCGGGAAACGGGGCTTGGGGACACCGGACAGGGCTTGGGGACACCGGACAGGGGCTGGGGACACCGGACAGGGCTTGGGGACACCGGACAGGGGCTGGGGACACCGGACAGGGCTTGGGGACAGCGGGCAGGGGCTCGGGACAGCGGGAAACGGGGCCTGGGGACACTGGACAGGCGCTGGTGGCACGGTAGGGGATCTTGCCCCGTGGGCGGGGGGCTTGGTGGCACCGGACAGGGTCTGGGGACACCGGGCAGGGCGCTGGTGGCACGAGGGTGGGGGGTGTTGGCACGGGACAGGGCGCAGGTGACACCGGAGGAGGTGTAGGTGACACCGGGCAGGGCGCTGGTGACACCGGAGGAGATGCCGGTGACACCGGAGGAGGTGCAGGTGACACCGGAGACAGTCGTGGTGGCACGGGAGAGGGCACCGGTGACACCGGGAGGGGATCTAGGGGCACGCAGAGGTCGCTGGTGACACGGGACAGGGTCCGGTGACACGCAGAGGAGCCTGGGGACACCGGGGATGGCTCTGGGGACACTTGAGGGGATCCTGAGGTTGTGGAACAGGGTTCCAGTGTCCCTTTATGGGGTCCCGGTGTCCCTTTATGGGGTCCCGGTGTCCCTTTATGGGGTCCCAGTGTCCCTTTATGGGCTCCTGGTGTCCCTTTATGGGGTCCCATCCTGTGGGATCCCCTCAGAAAACCCTTCCCGACCTTTCAGGGCGGCGCAACTTCCGCCTGTTATCCCTTCAATAATTTGGGGGAAATCCGGGTGGGTTTTTGGAGCCTCTTCTCAAAGCCAGAGGATCCCAAATTCAAGGGATCCGAAATCCAGGAGGTTTTGTCCCTTTTTTTTTCGGGTTTCTGGGACGGCTCCGGGCCTTCCCAGAGCGGGCAGACCTGTTTGGGATCCGAATTCCCTTTCCCCGGGCAGCATTTGGGGTTTCGCCCTTGCCCTGCGGCTCTTTGGGATCAGGGAGGGAATTCCCGGGGGAATGAATGTGTGGGACTGAACCCGGGGCGAATTCCTCAGGGTGGGGAATTCTGGGGTGAAATCCGGGGCGGAATCCAGGGCAAACCAAATCCTGCAGGGATTTCAGTGTCCAGGGAATGGGATCATGCCGGGTTATCCCAAAGGAATGGGATCATGCCGGGTTATCCCAAAGGAATAGGATCATTCCCCGTTATCCCGAGGAATGGGATCATTCCCCATTCCCGGTTATCCCGAGGCTTTTCCGCCCTCGGGAATTGCATCCCGAGGGCTCCGGTTCCAAGGGGTCAATTTCCCTGGAAACCGTCACCGGATCCCGGCGGCGACGCGCTGGGAACGGGATCGGGATTCCCCGGGAGCGGCTGGAATGGGATTTCCCAGGATTTGGGGTCGATGGTTAACACGAGAACTCTGCCCCAGGTTGGGCTGGAATTCCTGGAATTCGGCTCCGGAGGGAGCAGCGCCTGAGGGATGATCCCAATCCCAAATATTGCTGATCCGAAATGTTCTTGTCCCGATCCCAAATGGAAATCCCTCTCCCGACCCTCTTCCCAGGTGAAAGATCCCATTTTCCCAGGTGGCAAATCCCACTCCTGACCCTTTTTCCGGGTGAAAATTCCTATTTTTCCAGGTGCAATTCCCTCTCCCCCCCATGATCTCCGCCCCTCCCCGGTTTCGGGTTCCCAAGAAAAGCGGGAAAAACTGGAAAATCCGGAAAAGCCGCTCCTGGTTTTTGGGCGCGGCTCCAAATTCCCGGACTTTAGCCCCAAACAACGCCCGGGGGAGGAGTCGAGGGCGGAAGTTTGGGAAAGATCCCCCCAAAAAAAATCCTCCTGAGGGCAAAAAAACCCAGGATGGTTTGGGATAATTAATTAGGGGTAATTTGGGATAATTAATTTGGCATAATTTGAGATAATTTTGGATCATTTGCGGTAATTCATTTGGGATAATTTGGGAATTCTTTGGGATCATTTGGAGCTCAATTTGGGCCCCAGGGACTCGGGAACGAAGCAGAATTTTGGGTAAACCTCACTGGGACCATCCTAAATATTGTATTCCCAGCAGTTTTGGGAATATTTTGGGAAAATTGGGGATTTTTCCCTTCCTTTCCCACCCTTGACCAGCCGGATTTTCCCCTCTGTTTCCTCATTCTCAAAATCCCAAATTCCCTTTCCTCCTTCAGGAAACAAAAAAAAAGGGAAAAAAAATCTTGGAAAAGCAACTCTATTTTTTTTTTTTTTCCCTGGATTTTCCGGCTGCTCCAGGAATTACAAAACGACTTTTTCTGGGTCGGAGCCACAAAGGCTCTTTGTGCTTCCATGGATCCTGGCCAGACGGAAAATTCCCAAAATTCCGCCCTTCCAGAGGGGCCAGGATGGCCTCTCCTGATTTTTCCCGACCCCATCCACAGGGAAAATTCCCATTTTTGGGTTTTTTTAGACTCTAATTTCCCTTTTTCTGCTTTTCCCCTTCCAGTTTTCCAAGGAAATTCCCAAAATACTGTTATTTCTCAGGCCCAAAATTTGCATTTTTCTGGTTTTTTCCCATTTTTTCAGCCCCCAAATCCCCTTTTCCTGGTTTGTTCCTTTCAGTTTTCCAGTGAAATCCCAGAAATCCTGGATGAGCAAAAAAGCAATTCCTGTCCCAGATTTCCTCATTTTGGGAATATCCAATCCTCTCCTGGATTTCTGGAAAGTCCAAATCCTCTCCCGTTTTTTCAGGAATATCCGATCCTCTCCCGGTTTTCCAGCCCTCCCCCCTTCCCAGTTTTTCTGGAGCCATCTGGGAACATTCCCAACCCCCTCCCCCCCCCATGGATTCTCCACCTGCTCTGGGATGGAGCTGGGATGGATCCAAGGGTTTGGGATGGATCCTGGGATCTGGGATGGATCCAAGGGTTTGGGATAGATCCAAGGGTTTGGGATGGATCCCAGGATCCGGGATGGATCCAAGGGCTTGGGATGGATCCTGGGATCTGGGATAGATCCCAGCCCTTCCCGGTGATCCCGACCCCTCCTGGCCCTTCCAAAGGTCTTCCCTTGATCCCGGAATTCCCATCAGGATCGCTCCCGGCCCCACCCTGGCCTCTGCCCCGCCGCCCTTTGGCCACCTGGAAAAATTCCCGATTTTCCACCGGCGCTCCCTGCTCAGGTCGGTTCCTGGATTTCCTGGGGACTCCGATCCCAGGGATTTGAGGATTTGGGAATTCTACTCCTGTGGTCCTTCCCCTGCAATTCCAGGGATTTTGAGATTTCTGGGATTTGTAGTGATTCCAAAGGGATGGCAGAATGTAGGGATTTGGGAATTTGGGGATTTAGGAATTCAGGGATTTAGAGATTCAGGAATTTAGGGATTTGGGCATTTGGGGCTTTAGGGATTGGGGAATTCTGCTTCCAGGATCCTTCCCCTGCCATTCCAGGGATTTGTGGGAATTCCGGAGGGGCAGCAGGATTTGGCTCGGGATCCTTTTTCCTACCCCCATCCCGTGCTCTGCTCCTTCCCTTTGGGAATTTTTTGGGATTTTTCCAGCACTTCAGACCCATCCCAGTATCCCAACAAACATCCCCCAAAATCCCAACAAACATCCCCAAATCCCAACAAACATCCCAAATTCCCCCGCTCATTCTGCAGCTCATTGTGTCATTCCCGATTTATTCCCGCGAAAAAAACCCCCGGGATTTGGGGCGGAATCGCGGCTTTTCCAATCCTAAATTCCCGATTTTTTTTCCCCCCCGGGGCTTCCAGGGGATTTCTGGGATCGAGGGCGGGGTAGAGGTTCCGTCCTCGCGCTGCTCCCAAAATGTCACCGCTCGTCCGAAAAACTGGGGAAAAAACTGGGAAAATCAGGGGAAACGGGGGAAAACGGGAAAAAAAAAAGCGTGGAGAAGGGGGAAGACAAGTGAAAAAGGGGGGAAAATGGGGAACACCGGGAAAAAATAGGGAAATCAGAGAAAAAACAGGAAAAAAGGGGGAGAAAAGGGGGAAGTGGTGAATAAAATGGGGAAAACCGGGGGAAGAAATGGGAAACGGGGAAAAAATGGGGGGAAAGGGGGAAAACCTGCAATAAAATGTGGAAAACTGGGAAAACCGGGATGAAAAAGTGGGAAAAAATGGGAAAACTGGGGGGAAACCGGCATAAATGGGAAAGAAACTGGGAAAAATGGGGAAATAATTGTGAAAAAGGAGAAAAAATGGGGGGAAACCCGCGAGAAACGCGGGGGGTGGGGGGGAAGAGGAAAACCGGGAGGGAAAACGCAGGAGAAAAAGGGGAGAACCGGGGAAAAACCACGCAAAACGGAGGGGGTAAAGGGGGAAACCTGGGGGGGGGGGGGGCGATGTAGGAAAAACTGCAAAAAGCCGGGGGAAATGGAGGGAAAATGTGGGAAGAAGTGGGGAAAACGGAGGGAAAGGGATTTCTTCCCCCCGAGCAGCCCCCGGTTCAGGCCATGGCGGAGCAGCCGCTGGACCACGGCGTCCAGATCCGCTTCATCAGCGACCTCCGCGAGCCGCGGCGCCCCCCGCGCCCCTCGCGGGCCCGCGGCGGCTCCTACGGCGTGGCCGTGCGGGTCCAGGGCATCGCCGGGCAGCCCTTCGTGGTCCTCAACAGCGGCGACAACGGCGGCGACAGCTTCGGCGTGCAGATCAAAGGGGGACAGCCCGAAACGCCCCCAAATCCCCCCAAAACCCGGGTCCCGGGCGGCTCCGAGGAGGAGGGGGGCGGTGAGGGGGAATTTTGGGATGGGGGAATACGGGGGGCGCCCGGATTTGCAGAGCGGGAAGGTTCATGGGGGTCCCGGGGGGGCACCAAGTTTTTAGATGAGGAAGGTGCAGTGGGGTCCCGGGAGGTCCCCAAATCCTGGGATGAGGAGCTAAGGAAGGTCCCCAAATCCTCGGAGCAGGAAATTCCAGGGGGGTCCCGGGGGGTCCCAAAATCCTCATGGGATGAGGAAACTTCGGGGCGATCTCGGGGGATCCCGAAATTCTCGGATCAGGACCAGGGAAGATCCCGAGATGTCCCAAAATCCTCGGATCAGCAGCCGAAAATCCCCAAATCCTCGGAGGAGCTGCGCCGATCCCAATCCCACGGGGACCTCAGCGCGCCTTTCCCCAAAAGCGGGGCAAAATTGGGTAAAAAGGATGCGGAAATTCCCAAAATTCCTGGGGATGTGGACACGGAGCCGCTTCGCTCCGTGGATTCCCTGATCACGAAATTCGACGGGAATTTGCCCCGCGGGCGAGCGTCGCGGAGGTTCCGTGGCCCCGGGGCGGCTCCGAGGAAACGCTCGCAGAGTTTGGATACGCGGAATTCCCGGGAATCCGCCTCGATCCCGCCCCAAATTCCCCAAATTCCCGGCGGGTTTGCGGGCATGGAGGAGCAGAGCGTGGAGATGCAGGTATTTGGGGAAAAATTCCTAAAAAAATGGGGGGTTTATACGAAAATTGGGGGCTTTCCTAAAAAAATTTGGGTTTTTTCTATAATATTTAAGGGGTTTTTCCCATTAAGTTTGGGGGGTTTTCCCATGAAATTGGGTTTTTTCCTACAAAACTGGGATTTTTTTCCCATAAACTGGCAAATTGTTTCCTAGAAAATTGCAGTTTTCCCCTACACAGTCATGTTTTTTCCTATAAAATTCGGGGCTTTTTTCCCCTCTAGAATGAGGGATTTGTGGTTTTTGTTTGAATTGAGGGTTTTTGTTCCCTCCCGGAAGCTGAAATCCACCCCGGACCTGCTGCGGGATCAGCGGGAACTGGGGAGCAGTGAAAACCCCACCGAGCTCATCTACAACATCCTAAAAGAGGGGTGAGTCCCCAAAACCCCAAAATTCCCCAAAATCCCCCAAAACCACCCTAAAATTCCCACCCCATGAACTCAGTTCCCACATATTTTCCCCATATTCAGGATTTGGGGGAATCCCAGCAGTTCCTGCCCTTTCCCTTTCTCCATGACCTCATTCCCAATTTTTTCCCCCCAAATCCAACCCCAAATCCCAGGAGCTCTGAGAGTGAAATTTCCCTGAAAAGGAAAACCTCGAGGCTGCTGGGAAAATTCCAGGAGCTGGCGGTGAGTGGGAAAATTCCTGGAGTATGGGATGGCTTTGGGATTTGGGATGGCTTTAGGATTTGTGAATGGGTTTGGGATTTGGGATTTAGGATTTGGGATTTGGGATGGCTTTGAGATTGGGTATGGGTTTGGGATTTGGGATGGATTTGGGATTTGGGATGGGTTTGGGATTTGGGATGGGTTTGGGATTTGGGATTTTAGGATGGGATATCTCCAACATCCCAAATGTTCCCGAATTTCCCAGAGTTCCGTGGGGGCTCCGGACTCGCCCCAATCCCAAATCCTGCAGGAGGCCCTGGACAGGAAATCCCAGGAGCTGCAGCGGAGCCAGGCCCAGTAATGGGGTCACCGATGTGGGGGGGGATGGGTTTGGGGTCATTCCCATTGTCCCTTTGGGGTTTGGGGTCACCCCTGATGTCCCTTTAGGGTTTGGGGTTCCCTAAAGGGTTGGGGGCAAGTTTGGGTGGCCCTTTGGGGTTTGAGGTCACTGTGGGTCCTCCTTTGTCCCTTTTGGGGTTTGGGGCCCAAAGACCCTTTAAAGACCCTCTGGACCTCCCTTAATCCCCCCAAACACCTCCAAACCTCCCCGAATTCCACCTAACCCCCAACAAATCCCCTCTGGACTCCCAAAAAACCCCAACAAACCTTGATTTCCCCCGTGAAGACCTGATTTCCCTCGTTAACCCTTCGTTGCCCAGGCTGAGCGAGCTGAAAGCTGCCAAGGAGGCACTGGAGGCGCGGCTGGGCCACCTCGAGGGGCAGCTGCTGGCCACGGACCCCAAAAGTGACCCCGAAGCACAGGACCTCTACCAGGTACCCCTAAAAACCTCCAAAACAGGGAAAATAATATAAAAAAAAAAACCAAACCCACAAAAAAACCCCAAAAAACCTCAAAATGAGAAAAATCCCAATAAAAAACTCACAAAGAAATAAACCCCAAAACCCCAAATTCTGAATTTGCCATTCCCAGGAACTCCTGGAATCCTGGGGAGACTTGAGGAGGTTTTGGGATTTTTTGCCACCCCCAAGTACCAATTTCCCCATTCCCAGGATTTCCAGGAATGCCAGGAGCAGCTGGAAGAGGTTTTGGGGTCACAGCCACATCCCAAGTCCCAATTTTCCCATTTCCCCAACTTTTCCCATTCCCAGGAGCTGCAGGAGTGTTGGGAGCAGCTCCAGGAGCTTTTGAGGGTTTTTCCACATCCCAAATCTCGTATTTCCCATTCCCAGGAGCTTTTGATGATTTTTCACATCCCGAATCCCAGATTTCCCATTCCCAGCAGCTTTTACGGGTTTTACCACATCCCGAATCCCAGATTTCCCATTCCCAGGAGCTTTTGCGGGTTTTCCCACATCCCGAATCCCAGGTTTCCCATTGCCAGGAGCTGCAGGAGTGCCGGGAGCAGCTGCAGGAGGCGCTGGGCTCGCGACGGCGCCAGGAGCGGGAGCTGCAGGCGCTCAAGGGGGCCCTGAAGGCCGAGGTGGCTGCGCACGATTCCGACCTGGAGCGGCTCCGGGGCGAGATGGAGGCGATCCGGGCGGAAACAGAGCGGGTGTCGGAGGTGGGAATTCGGGATGCTGATGGGAATTCGGGATGCTGTTGGTAATTCCAGCCTTTTTCCCGTATTCTAAACCTCTGGAATGGGGGAAAAACCCCTGGTGGAACACGGGAAAAATTGGGAAAAATGCCTCTGGGATTTCCATGGACTCAGCACTGATTCTGTGGATATTTTGGCTCGAATTCCCAGGGAATTTTTTTTGGAGAATCTTGTAAATAAATTCCTTGCAGGAGAAATCCAGCCTGGAGCAGGAACGGGAAAATTTGGGAATGCAGCTCCGGAATCTGCGGCGGGAGCTGGAGGAGAGCACAGAGGAGACGGAGCAGTGGCGGGAAATGTTCCAGAAAAACAAGGAAGAGCTCCGGAATTCCAAGCAGGAGTGAGTCTTGCAGCTTGGGGAGATCCGAAATTTGGGATTTTCTGAGGTTTTCCAAGTCATATCCCAAGAAAATTGGGAATTTTCTGGGGTTTTCCACTCTGAATCCCAAAAAACTGGGCCTGGAGAGTGCTGCAGGATTTGGGAAGCTCCAAATATGTGAATTCTCTGGGATTTTCCACCCCAAAACCCAAAAAAGGGGGATGGGGGCAGATCTGGAGCTCCCAGTTCTGGGATTTTCCAGGATTTTCCACTCCAAATCCCAACCAAACAGGGTCGGGGACATTGGGATGGAGGGGATTTTGGGAATTTTGGGAATTGTTGGGATTTTCCAGGCTGCTGCAGGTGCGGCTGGAGCGGGAGGAGTTGGAGGAGGAGCTCCGGGAGCTCCGGGAGCGATTCCAGGCAGCGCGGGAGGATCGAGATCGGGCTCAGAGCAACCCCCAGGAGCTGGAAAAGCTCCGGAAGGTGGGAGAAATCTGGGAAGTTTTATCCCCAAATCTGGGGTTTTTTTTCCCAAAATTTAGGATTTTTTTTCCCCCAAGTTGCGGGATTTTTCCCCAAAAATCCATTATTCTACCCCCAAAATTTGGGATTTTTCCCAGGAGCTGGAGCAGGGCCGGAAAGACATGGAAAAGCTTCGGGGGGAGCGGGACGAGGCTGCCCAGGTAAGAGGAGGAAATCCCACAAATTGGGAATTTTTGGGAAAATTTTGGGAATTTTTCACAATCTGGGGTCCCAGATTTGCTCATTGTGGGCTCTGCCCAAATTGTCCCAAGAATTTAAAAAGAATTCCCACAAAATCCCCCCAAGAAGCCTACAAAATCCCCAAAAATTCATCAAAAATCCCCCCCAAAAATTCCCCAAAATTCCCCAAAATCCCCAAGGCCCAGATTTCCCTTGGATCGGCACTGGAGGCATCAGAGGAGGCACGGAAAGTTCTGGAATCGCAGCTGGAGGAATCCCAGGAAGAGCGGGAAAACTGGGAACGGCTCCGGGAGAAAGTGGACGAACTGGAGGTATTGGGAATTCCCAAAAATCCAGACTGGAGGTACTGAGATTTCCCAAAAATCCAAAGAAAAATCCCCCCCAAAAATTCCTAAACCAACCAAAAAACAAGCCCCCCAAAAAATCCCAAAAAAACTCCCAACAGAAATTAAAAAAAAAAAAACTCCTCAAAACCCCAAAAATCCCCAAAAAGTCCCCCAAAATTCCCAGGCGGAGCGCGCGGCGCTGGCCGATTCCCTGGGCTCCAGCGCGGAGCGGGAGCGGGAGCTGCGGCGCTGCCGCGATTCCCTGGAGTCGCGCCTGGAGCGGGCCCAGCAGGAGCTGCGGGATTTGGGATCCGCGCTGGGCCAGGAGCGGCTGCGGCGGGAGCGGCTCAGCCAGGAGGTGCGGGAAGAGATTCCAGGAATTTCATGGAGGGGGGGGTTTCGTGGGATTTCAGGGTTTTTTTTTTTTTTTGGTGGGATTTGGGGGTGATTTGGGGTTTTTTCATGGAATTATGGGCTTTTTAATGGAATTTTAGGTTATTTCCTGGAATTTTGTTTTTTTTTTAATGGAACGTTGGGGTCTTTTTTAATGGAATTTGGGTATTTTTTTTTTCCTAAGTTTGGGAGCTTTTTCGTGGAATTTCAGGACTTTTAAATGGAATTCTGGGGTTTTTTAAAATGAAAATTTTTTGGTGGAACTCTGGGGTTTTTTTTTAAATGGAATTGTGGCATTTCCTCATCCCAAAATCTTAGACTCATGGGATTGGGACCTCTTGAGAGGTTTGGGAAGAGATTCCAGGGGTTTTTGCCCCAGAAAATCCCTGGATTTTTCAGGGAGTTTTGGGGTTTTTTCATGGAATTCTTGGGTTTCTCATGGAATTCTGGGTTTTTTTTCATTGAATTCTGGGCTTTATCCATGGAATTTTTAGCTTTTTTCATGGAATTCTGGGATTTCCACCCCAACCCCCAGATCCCATTTTTGGCACCATCCCACAAAATTCCCCACCCTGAAATTCCCATTTTTCAGCTGGAGCAGATGACAGCGGAATCCCAGAGCTCCCTGGCCTCACTGAGATCCCAACTGGAAGAATTCCAGGAAAAATCCCGCCGGGAACTCACGGATTCCCAAAAAATTGCCCGAGACCGCGAGACCGAGGCAGAAAAATTCCAACAGGACATTGGGAAGCTCCAGGATGAGGTTTGTTGGGAATTTGAGCTGATTTTTCCAGGAATTCTGTGGATTTTGGGGGAAAATCCAGCTGCGAATCTGGGGAATTTTGGGGTTTTTCTGGCAGATTTCCCAGCTGAAGGAGACGATCCAGGAAAACCGGGAAGAGCGGGATCGGATCCTGCTGGACAAGGAGCTGCTGCTCCAGAGGCTCCAGGAGCTGGAGCAGGATCTGGAGAACCGGAAAAGATCCCAGGAGGAGCGAGCCAGGCATTCCAAGGCACTGGAGGTGGGGATTCCTGAAAAAAAATCCTGGAAAGTTCTCCAAGAAATGGAAAAAAAATTCCCATACCGCTCCCAGAAAATTCCCCCCCAAAAATAACGGAAAATTCCTAAAGAAGTCCCAGAAGATTCCCAGAAATTTCTCAAAAAATTCCCCCCAAAATTTTCCAAAATTCTCAGAAAATTCCCCCAAAATTCCATCCCAAATTCCCATCAGGAAAAATCCAAGCGTTTGGAATTGGAGCTGGATGAGGAGCGGAGCTCGGTGGAGCTGCTGAGTGAGAGGGTGACCCGGAGCCGGGACCAGGTAAGATCCTGGGAATTTTGGGAATTCTCATCTTGGCAAAAATACAATTCTCCCAGAATTCCAACCCCTCCCTCCAGGGATCCATCTGAGAATTCCAGCTGGGAATTGTCAGCCGGGGCAGGAGTGGGGATTGGAAGAGGCTGGGAAGAGTGATATAGAATTCCTAAAGGAATTCCTGATTTTTGATGCTTGGGCGGAAATTTGGGGATTAAATCCTAGTGTATTCTGAGGTTTTCCCAAACTTTATTCCCTCCTTTTCCCCCCCAAAATTACAAGGCATAAGTGGGCATAAAATGAAAATTTTTCCCCAATTTTTCCAATCGGGAATAATCCCAGGGATACGTTTCCCAGAATTCCCAGAGAATCCCAGCGCCTCCGCCAATCCCATTCCAGAAATACATGGAAAAGTCCATGGAGAATCTGTGGAAAATCTGTGGAAATCAATGGAAATCTGTGGAAAATCATAGAAAAATCTATGGAAATCCATGGAACGTCCTGGAAATCCCTGGAAATTCCCAGATTTTTCTGTTTTTATTCCCAGATTGAGCAGCTGCGGGCGGAGCTGCTCCAGGAACGTTCGAGTCGCCAGGACCTGGAATGTGACAAATCGTCCCTGGAGCGCCAGGTGCGGGAAATCCCATGAAAATTCCCCAAAAAAATCCCCAGAAAAACTCAGGAAAAATCCCAGGAAAATCCCTGGATCTGGCCTCTAATCCTGGCAGGAATGGCCCGGGGGGGAACCCAGATTTCATGAGGAATTTCCCCAGTTTTTTTCCTGCTTTTTACCCCTCTTTTTCTGGTTCTTTTCTGTTTTTTTTCCAGCTTTTCCTGCTTTTCCTTTTATTACCAGTCCCAGCTTCTGGGGTCCTCTGCCTTCTCCCTGCATGTTTTTCCTGCAGAATTCCCACCTTCCCTGCAGAATTCCAACAGAATTCCCACTTTTCTGTGCAGAATTCCCACTTTTGCCTGAAGACAAGTCCCAGAATTCCCACTTTTACCACCTTCCTGACTCCTGGAATCCTGCAAAGAATTCCTGGAATTCCTCCCCATTGGGAAACTTGGCAAAACCAAGAAGTCCCCTGGGCTCAGGGGGATTTTTGGGAATTTTTCCCAGAACAGGGAGCTGAAGAACCGGCTGGCCGCTTCCGAGGGGCAGCAGCGACCCGGGAACAGCCGGAATTCCCAGCTGGAATCGCAGCTGGAAGAGCTCCGGGAGCAGCTCCAGGCTGAGGAGAGGTGCCCCATCGCAATTCCTAAATTTTTCCAATCCTAGTTCTCAAATTTCAAATCCCTGATCCCAAATATCAATTTCCATATAATTCCAACTTCCCAAATCCCAAATTTTTCCAATCCCAGTTCCCAAATTTTTCCAACCCCAAATCCCAGTTCCCAATTCCCAAATCTCAAATCTCAATTCCCAAATTTTTCCAAATCCCAAATCCCTTAAAAATCCCTAAAAAATGCTTGAAAAATCCTTAACAAATTCTGAAAATGGCTTAAAAATTCTTAAAAATCCCTTACTATCCTTGAAATTCCTTAAAATTCCATAAAAATCCATACAAATCCCATTCTCAGGCCACTCCAAAGGGCGGGGAATCCATGGAATTCCCATTTTTCCGTAGGGAAAAGAGCGTCCTGCTCTCGTCCAACCGGAAGCTGGAGCGGAAAATTAAGGAATTGTCGCTGCAGCTGGACGAGGAGCGGCAGAGCAGCAGCAGCCACAGGGACCAGGTGGGGCTGGAATTCCTGGAATTCCATGAAAAAACCTGGGATAGGATTCAGGGTTTATCCCAAAAATCCCATCTGAGCCATGACGAGGAATCCTGAAATGGTTTGGGCTGGGAAAGATCCCAAAGAGCCTTAAAAATTCCTTAAAAATCTGAGGCTGGGGACATTCCCACCATCTCAGGGATGGGGAATCCATGGAAATAATGGAGTTTGGATCCTGAAGATCCCTGACATCCCATCCAAGCAATTCCTGGAATGATTTGGGATGGGAAAAAAACCCCAACAATCCTTAAAAATTCCTTCAAAATCCCTGGAAAGTCCTTTAAAATCCTTAAAATTCCGAGGCCAGGGCCATTCCCTGCACCCCAGGATCCTCCCAAAATTCCCAAATCCCAAATCTGACCCCAAATCCTGGGAATTCCCAGCTGAGCCTTCGGGTAAAGGCCCTGAAGCGCCAGGTGGATGAATCTGAGGAGGAAATCGAGCGCTTGGAAAACGCCCGGAAAAAATCCCAGCGGGAGCTGGAGGAGCAGCAGGAGCTCAACGAGCAGCTCCAGCGGCGCCTGAAATCCATGGAAAAGGAGGCCTGGTAAGGAATTCCCAGTTGGAAAATTCCAGAATCCATGGGAAAGGTTCCTAAACCCATGCAAAGGCCCCCAGTCCATGGGAAACCCCCAAATCCCAAGGAAAAAGTCCTAAATTCATGGGAAAGGATCTAAATGCATGGAAAAGGAGTCCTGGTAAGGGAATTCTGGCTTGCAAAAGGCTGGGAATTCCATGGAAAGGGCCGGGAATTCCATGGAAAGGGCTGGGAATTCCATGGAAAGGGTCGGGAATTCCATGAAAAGGGCTGGGAATTCCATGGAAAGGGTCAGGAATTCCATGGAAAGGGTCAGGAATTCCATGGAAAGGGTTGGGTATTCCATGGAAAGGGCTGGGAATTGCACGGAAAGGTCTGGGAATTGCATGGAAGAGCCGGAATTTTCTCCCTGCAGGCGCCGCGCCGTGGACTCGGCGCTGCAGGACGAGCGGCTGAGCTCGGATGAGGAATTCGGCTCCGCGGCCATCGCCTCCCTCCTGAGCGAGGCCAACCTGCAGGCCAGCTCCTGCTGAGCCAGGAATCCGGGAATGCCAGGAATCCGGGAATGCTGGGAATGCCGGAGTCATCACTGAGGCCGGGATTGGTTCCAGGATTGGTCGTCCGGGGATCAGCCTGGGACCGTTCCGGGCTCGTCCCTGGGATCAGCCCCCTCCTGCTGATTCCCGGGAATTCCAGAGCTGGGATCGAGTCCGGGATCAGCCCCAGAATTTCAGCTGGGATCAGCCCCGGGATCAACCCTGGGGAATCAGTCCCAGGATCAGCCCTGGAATTCTGGCCAGGATCAGCCCTGGGCTGTGGCTGCTCCATAGGGAGCGAGGGCATGAAGGAAAAAGGGCCGGGACCCCCTGGGAATCCTGGGATTTCCAGGGGTTTCCCAGCTCCTGAGAACACTTTGGGGGAATCCTGGGGTTTCCCGATTCCAGTAGTTTTTATTCTTACCTGCTCCTGAAGATGTTTGGAATAAAATACAGCAGTTTAAGGGCAACAGAGTCTGGAATTTTTGGGAATTCTGGGTTGGAATTCTTGGTGGGAATGTTCAGGAATTTTCAGGAATTCTGGGCGGGAAATTATTGTGAATTTTGGGGAATTCTGGGTGGGATTTGGGAATTCTGGATAGGAATTCTCGGGCGCCACCTCTGCTGTCCCCTGATGTCCCCGTGGCACCGCCCCGCGCCCGCACAGGTGACACCCGGGTGTCCCCAGCCGGTGGCCCCGGAGCCGCCCCTGTCCCCCGCTGTCCCCGCCCCGGGCGGGCCGTGCGCTGCCCCCGCAGGTGCCACCGCTGCCACCTCTGTCCCCCGCTGTCCCCACCCCGGAAGGGCCGTGCCCGCTGCCCTCCGAGGTCCCCCGGACCGGCCCGACCGGTCCCGGGCTGTCCCCACGCCTCCGTGCCTCAGTTTCCCCCGAGCCTCGGGGACATCCCAGGGACAGCGCGGACGGAATTCCCAATCCCTGAAACTCCCGTGAATTCCCAATCTCTGCAATCCGCTGGAATTCCCTGAAATTCCCTCAATTTCCTCGAAATTCCCTGAAATCCCCCGGGATCGCCTGGGATTCCTCTGTGCCACCGTGCCCGGGGATGTCCCCAAGATGTCCCCAGCTGGGGACACGCCAGGCGGGCTGCGGGGGTGGGGACAGCACCTGGCGCGGGTTTGGTGCGCTCTGGCACGGCTGTGCTGTGGCCTGGCACGGCTCTGGCACAGCTGTGCTGTGGCCTGGCACGGCTCTGGGGACACACCCGGGTTGGGCTTGGCAGAGCCGGGCACGGCCAGCGCAGGGCTTTGGCACGGCTGGGGACACCCGGGTGTGCCTTTGGCACGGCTTGGGCACACCCGGGTGTGGCACTGGCACAGGTCACCTTGGGCACGGTTTGGTACAGCTTTGCCCCAATTTTCCCCATTTTTGCCCACTTTCATCCCATTCCCCCCCCCCCCCAATTTTATCTCAAATTTGTCCCTTTTTTTTGCCTATTTTCATCCCAATTTTCCCCCATTTCTATCCCAACTTTCCCAATAGCTTCCCCCCCCTTTTTCTCAATTTCCCCCCACCTTTTTTTCCCAATTCCCCCCCTTTTTCCCAATTTCCCCCCTTTTTCTCAATTGTACCATCTTCCCCCCCTTTCCCCCTTGTGGGCGCATCCACCGCCTCATACCCAAATATGGGCCTGACCAAACTTGGCACGGCCCGGGAGGGGCGCGGCCCCAAAGGGGCGTGGCCGGTGTGGGCGTGGCCACCTGGCTCAGGTGAGGCGGAAGTGGCGGCGGGGCCATGAACGGGCTCCCGGGCTGGGCCGCGCTCCCGGAATCCCCGGTAAGGACCCCCCGGGACCCTTCCCCCAATTCCCAAATCCTTCCCCAAAACTTCCACAGAAATTCCTGCAGCATTCCCGAAAACTTCCTGAATCTTCCGCAAAAATCCTTTCCTTGGGCTCTTCCCGGAACTCCCGAGATTTCTTTTTTCCCCTTTTGGGATCCCTTTGGAATTCCCGGGATCCCGCCCCAAATTCCTTGATCCTTCCCAAAATTCCTGGATCTCTTCCCTAAAAAATTCAGGACCCTTTCCCGAAATTCCTGGATTCGGTCCCCAGAATTGCCGGGCCTCTCCTTTACCTACTCCCGGAACTCCCGCGCTCTTCCCGCCCTCCTGGGAGGAGTTTGGGGGATCCCAAATCCCTTTGGAATTCCCGGGACCTCTTCCCAAAATTCCCAAATCCTTCCCAAAATTCCCGAATCTCTTTACTAAAATCCCCGGGACCCCTCCCTAAAATTCCCGTCTCCCTCCTTTTCCTCAATTCCCGGAATTCCTGGAATTCCCGGGATTCTCCCTCCTCCTGGAACGACTTTTGGGGTATCCCAAATCCCTTTGGAATTTCCGGGACCCCTCCCAAAATTCCCTCGGGGTCACTTCCCTAAAAACCCCGGAACTCCTCCCCACAATTCCCGGGTCCCTTTTCCCTTTTCCTCATTCCCGGAATTCCCGGAATGCTTTTTGGGCGATCCCAAATCCCTTTTTCCGACGTTCCAACCCCAAACCCATGCTGGGGTTTTCGGGATCTTCCCGGCTCCGTTTTCCCATGGAATTGCCGGGAATTCCTCCTCAAAATCCCGATTATTTTGGGAATTCCGAACTCCAGGGGGCGGGGCCATCCCGGCATTTTCCAGCTGGGATTTGAGGATTTGAGGAGTTTTCCCAATTTTTTCCCCGATTTTTTTTTTTTGTTTTTTTTTTTTTTTTAATTCCTGCTTTTCTCAGCCAGGCCTTGGGGCGAGACTGGTACATTCCCAAAACTCCAACCCCGACCCAAATCCCGGGAAATTTGGGAATTTGTGTCTCAAATCCCAACAATCACAGAGTTTTTTATGGATTTGGCAAACTCTGGGAGTTTTCCTGGGATTCCAGGCTGCTTTTCCCGCTTTTCCAGAGGCAAATTTCTGATTCGCAGCCTTTTAAGGAGCGGTTTGGGATTACCAGGAATTCCCAAAATTCCCACTCATGAAGTTTTTGGATTCCTGATTCCAGAATTTTTGGAATTCCCTCCCCATCCTTCCAAGCTTTTCCCAAAAAATTCTTTAGCATTATGGAAAAACCTTGGAAAAATTGGAAAACTCACCTTTGAAATTTGGGGATGGGGTCACCTTGAAATTCTGGGATGGGGTTGGGATTTTGGGATTCCCCATCCCAGGATGTTTGTGATTCCCAAAATTCCTATTCTTGGTGAATTCCCCAAAAATCCCCCCTGGGACTGGGCTGGGAAATTAAAATTTAGGAATTTTGGGAATTTTCCAGTTCAGGGCAGATTTTTCCCAGCAGGAGCTGAGCATGAGGCGCCCCACGGAATTCCCAGAATTTCCCAGCCCTGCAAACTCCCCTGGATCCCTGGAAGATTCTGGAGGAGGCCCCAAATCCGCCTGGAATCCAGAGGTGAGTCCTGGAATTTTTGGAAAATTCCCCTCCCCCCCCCCCCCCCCCCCGCCAAAATCCGGATCTGGTATCGGTTTTCCTTCTCTTTGTCCTTCCTGATCCCAGTGGAGAAATCTGGGAAGGGTGGGATTTATCCTGGATTTTTCCTGGATTTATTCCCATTTTATCCCAGATTCTTCCAGGATTTATCCCAAATTTTTACCATAATTTTACTGGATTTCTTCCCAATTTATCCGGAGCTGGGCTTTGCCCCAAATGCCAGTTTTTAGTCTCGATTTCAAGCTGTGTTTAACCCTTAGGAGGCCGGGCCGGTGCTGAGGCTGCTCCTGCCCCGAGACCCCCCTGGGGAGCCCCGGCCCAAACAGAAGGTGTGGAAAAAGCGGGACTGGGGGGAAAATCTTGGAATTCCAGGGGGGAATCCTGGGAATTTCAGGGGAAAATGAGAATTCTGGGGGGAAATTTGAGAGTTTGGGGGAAAATCTGGGAATCGGGGAGGGGGGGAAATGGGAATTTTTGGGAGGAGAATGGGAAATTTTTGGGGGAAAAATGTGGGTTTTGTGATCATGCTGGGAATTTTGGGGGGAATTATGGTGAAAATTCTGGATTTGAGGGGGAAATGGGAATTTTTTTGGGAAAAGGGGAATGTTGGGATGATTCTGAGAATTTTGTGGGGAATTTTTGGGTGAAAATCAGGACTTTGAGGGGAGAAAGTGAAATTTGGGACTTTTCTGGGGATTTTCGGGGAAATTCTGAGAACTTTGGGGAAAAAATTTGGGGTCTTGAGGGGAAATTTGGGGATTTGGGGGGTAAAACCAGGAATTTTGGGGAGGAAAATGGGAAGTTTGGAAGAATTCTGGGATTTTTGTGGGAAAATCTAGGATTTTTGGGATCATTTTGGGACAGGGAATGGGCTCATGGTTTCCCAGATTTATCTGCAGCAGGAAACAACTGAAAATCCTGGATTTTCCATTAAAATCCTGGCATTTTCCCTCCAAATCTGGGATTTTCGGGACAATTCCCACCCAGCCACCACTCTTAGGGTGGCAAATCCCAGTTCCGGGATTTTCCCGGGAATTTTTTCCCAAAATCGCCACATTTTCCCCCAAAGCCGGTGGGCAGAGCCTTCGCCATGGTGGCCAAGAGATCCGATGGGAATTCCTTGGCCTCGGAGTGCGTCAAATCCAAGGATGGCGATGAGGAGATCATCAAGGTGCCCCAAATCCTGGGATTTTTGGGGCTTTTGGGATTGTTCCTAGGGAGAAGAGGGGATGGTAAAATGCCCAGCAAAAATGGCCCCAAATTCCTGCAAATTTCCCCAGTATTCTCCCAAAATTCCCACAAAATTCCCCACAAAGTTCCCCTAAATTTCCCCAATAGTTTCCACAAAAAGACCCAGGAATTCACTAATTTTGGCCTCAGAATGCCCCAAATCCAAGAATGGGGATGAGGAGATCATCAAGGTGCCCCAAATCGCAGGGTTTTAAGGGTTTTAGGATTGATGCCTGGGGGAAAAGGTGCCTGGGGTGGTTTGGGAATTTTGTCCTGAATTCCAATCAAAATTCTAGCAAATTTTTCCTCAAATTGTCCCTAAATTTCCCAAAAATTCCTGAAAAAATCCCCACAAATTGTCCCCAAGTTCCCTACAATTCCAAAAAAATTCCCCAAAATGACCACAAAATTCCCCAATATTTTCCAAAAATTTCTCCCAAATCTCCCCCAAATTCCCCTAAAATTGCCCCTGAAAGATCCCAAAAAGTGGCCAAAAACTTTTCACAAAATTCCCCACACTATTCCCTTCAAATTCCCACAGCATTTTCCTTGGATCTGGGGATGGATTTGAAGGATTTTGGGGAATTCCAGGTGGATTTTCTGGGATTCAGTTTGGATTTTGGGAAATTCTGTGTGGAATTTTGGAAATTCCATGGGAATTTCAGAGCATTCCAGGTGAATCTGGAGGGAATCCCGTGTGGAATTTTAGAGATAAAATATGGATGTTTTTGGATTTAATGTGAATTTGAGGGACCCCAGCTGGAATTTTGGGAATTCCTTGTGGATTTCAGGGAA